AGACTTGAAGACGATCGAACCGCGAAGGACGACCATAACCGCAACCACACCAGAAATCATTGAACAAGCTCAAAATATTGTGAGTGAAGATACAAGTTTGACTAAGCGTGAAAGTGCTAATGCCATAGGCATCTCATGTTACGTTTTGCATGGAGAATGACAAATGAAAAAGCTGTTTGGAAAGTTAGTGCCGCACACGTTAACAAATCAACAAAAACTGGGTCGAAAACCAATTTCTCAGCATAATTTAGAGCATTTTCAGCAGAATAAAACCGAGTTATTGCGTCGTTCTATAACTATGGAGGAGACTTGGATCTACCACCATGATCCTTATTTGGAACAAGAACGTTTACGGTGGACTGTAGCTAGTTGTTTAGCTCCAAAACAGGTGAATTCACAACGATCAGCAAAGAATGTTATGGAATCAGTTTTTTGGAATGAAAAAGGAATGTTACTGATTGATTATCTGCAGAAAGGTAAATCAATCAACTCTGAATGAAATTCATGAGAAAAGATCTGGTTTGCAGCAAAAAATGAGTTTTCATCAAGACAATGCACCTGCACACAACGGTATCTACCGTATTCACCAGATTTGGCTCTCAGCGACTACCACCTCTTTAGAAACCTGAAACAATTTTTCTTAGTGGAAAGCATCTTCGTCGAATGAAGAAGCTATTACAGCTATAGACGGGTATTTTGCAGTGCTTCCGGAAAGTTATTACAGGGGTGGCATAAAATAATTGGAGGATCATTGGAATAAGTCGATTGAAGTTAAGGGAAATTATATTGAAGAAAAAGTATAGTTCGTACCAACCTGTAATATCTCACTCATGAATGGCATTTTAGAGATTGAGTGTATCAGGTATTATTATATATAATATATAAATAAAAGCTGCATTTGTTCGTGTATATACAGCTGTTGAATACACAATTCATTAGTAAATGTTAGAGCATATTCGGTTATTCAAATAATTTGTTGGTCTATTTTACGGGTGACGGTGTACGGGTGAACACTGTTCAATACTATAAATTTTGCATGTAATATTTGCAAGCTGTCTTTTAACAGCTTTATACAAATATAATAATAATACAAATCACTAATTCTTATAGATTTCTTAAGAATTAGTTCAAAATTTCCCTTACATGGAGAGCCTTCAGTAAATTTTACTTTACTGACGATTTATGAGAGTGCAAAGCACTGAAATTAGAGCCGTTGATGTATTGTTTTCCACTTGTTTACGTTAGTTTTGCACTGAGAGTGCCGCATTTGCTCGCACGGGTTTTCCATTGGCCATAAAGCCAAACCTTTACGAGCAATTTACTCAGTGCAATAGCAAAAACTGGACAAAACAATGCGAAAAAATTTTGTTTTATGAAAAACAAAGGGACGTGACTACATATAAAATTACACGTTGCAGTCCTAAATGGTAGAAAACTCACCCTACAGGAAAATAAACAAGTAGAAAACTACTATACAGCTAGAATGAACCGCAAGCGAAAGCACGACTGACTACAGGCATGCTCACGTCATGCTCTTAATTTATCTCAGATATCAACTTTTATAATCGGCAAATGCCAGCACGAAAATCCTCCAATTAGGTATATGAACATATATGCGATAGGTCAATGCCACTATTCCTGTTTTATTGGTACCATTTTTGAAACTTACATAAAGAATGATCGAGAAATTATTTTCATTACATTATATTGTCATTTGCTAATATAATAAGTGTGAATGTAAGTATGTTTTTTACGCTTTCCTGCCGAAACCACGTAACCGATCTTCATAAAACTTTTTACACATATGTCTTATGGTATTTTAAAGAACATATGATATTATTAAAATCAATATTTATATTTTATTTTTTTGCTTGTAAAAGAAATTTGAAAAATAGAAAAAAATTTTTTTTATGACTGTTTGTCGAAAACTTTCAAAATGTAACAAAACAAAAATGAAAGGTGAGCGAAGCCGTGAGAAAAACTATTGTAGTTCAGTATAAAAAGAACCCAAAATTCGAAAAAGTTTATTTTAGTGAGATAGCTTATTAGTTTCTGCAAGAAGCGTGAAAATATTGTTTAACAAATTACAACTTATTTTGAAAAACTAGTTATGTTTGTTCATAACTTTTGCCAGCACTAATATGATGACTACAGTTATTACTTTATTGAGAATAATTTTAAAGTAAACATTTCGTCTCGTAATTAAAATAAGTGAGAATATTCTCAATGGAGTCTAAAACTGCACATCTAACATATTGTAATAACGTTATAAGATATCTTCACTAAAATTGGCATGCTTAAGCATTTATTATTAATTATAGCATATAGCTACCATACAAACTGAACGATTAAAATCAAGTTTTTGTAAGGAATTTTAAGAAAGTTTTGGAGACATACTTTTTAGTAGTCTTTAATTATTGCAATTTCGGAATTTTCTGATGCCCTAAAACTTACCACTTCATTACTTCTGTAATTTCCTTTGATTGAATTATTCCAAATATTGTGTTTGAAAATATGAAGAGCTTCCTATATATGATGGCGATTTGCAGTTTATGATCACATATTGCAATCAAGAATATGGCCATTACTAATTTATAAGGCACTTGTATAATTGCTAGGAACATTTGAATTATCTATCATACTTGTATATATAATTACGCTGGCAAAAAAGTTTGTCTTCCCTTTTAACTGCGTTGCATATGTGGTTAAAATGTGTACCGTTGGAAAGGAGAAGACGTGCAGAGGTGCACAACGATATCCCATATTTGTCAACGGAAACATAACTAACAAGTAATGAAGGGCTAAGTACGGATGTAACCGAACATTTTATACTCCCGCAAAGTCAAATGGTATACTCGTTTGAGATTTCTTTGTGTATTGACCGATATTTTCGATAGAAGGTCAACTATAGGCACTGTGGTCCACATACTCAGTACCTAGGGGTTTGAACAGTTTTCGTTCGATTTAGACAATTTTTGGTCACAAGGTGGCATAATTTAAACGTATTATTCACGCAAAGTTTTACCCCGATATAATCATTGTTGCCTGATTTGCATAGTGAAAAGTGAAAGAATCAGATGGAATTTAAAATGGTGTTATTTGGGAAGTAGGCGTGGTTCTAATTCAATCTCGCTCATTTTCACACTTTAACATAGAAATATGAAAGATATGGTTTTTCAACTAAAAGTGGGCGGTGCCACGCCCACTGACTAATATTGAACGCGATTCCTATAAAGTCATATCATACATCAATTGCATGAATAATGCAATTAAAGTATGCTATATTGTGACCAAAAATTTTCCACGACTAATTGCATAACAACCTTCATACTCGCTCGGGATTAACCCACCGATTTGATATCAGACAGGTCGGGATTTTCAGGCAGATTGTGAAGATCTATTAAAAAAAAAATTTAAATTCAAAACATCTTTTGAGAGTATCTAATACATAGAATGACAAACAAATTATTCTTAGCTACATCTATATGTACGACTATTTTCAAAACCCAAAGTCAGTTACAATAAAAAAATATAGTAAGCCATAATATAGCCCAAATATATACTTTTGAAGCAGCCGTAAGTTTGTTACAACCCCCCGGGTAAAGGACAAATCTTCTGTTATTCCAGGCATTTTCAAAAATTTTCTATACTAACATTTAAATTGAATTACTGTTAATTGAAAGGCAACAACAAAATATGCAAATATGAAACTAATCTTCTATTTCGCCTTACCACTATTATGCACAGCAGATTGCTCGTGAAATCTCTACACACGTAATATACCTATATGCGACATGCCATATCGACGTTGCAACCTCATGTCATAATAATACAATACAGCAACCAGAACAACATAATAAAAAAATGGAAAATAAAAGTACAGTAGCATTCCGAAATAACGTTTATTCGTTTTAACGAATACCGCTTATAACGAACAAGAAATTTGTTTACATTGAGTACCTTAAATAACGAATAACAGGGATTGTCAGTACTCGGTTTAACGAACAACACAAATACCTCATAAGGATAAACTTCTAATTTCGTCTTTGGTAAGGAAAGATGAGGATACTTTGGCAATGAGGAATGAAGTTAAATTGCTGAACTCGGTTTTTCCAAATATAAACAACATGAAATTATATGCTTAGGCCATTTTAAATAAATATTTTAACATTATCGACTTTAATTCTCAGTCAGCGATTTGAATGGATGTGTTGAGCAAAATTTCATACAGGATTATGATGAATTTGATATAATCAAGTTGAAGGAAATTACGAAATTGAAAATATATCAAAACTCAAACAAAAAGATGTAGAAAGTTTTAAAACAATGTCTCCAGAGGGCAGATCAGATCAATCTCGATTTCATAAAACTTATTTTGTTGACTGAACTTGAGAAAGAAGCCATCAAATATAATTTTCGTATTCCAACGAAATAAACGACGATCTCAATAAAATAATTTATTAAACTGCCATTTTCCAATACCTTACTTATTTTTATCGATAAGTATATTATATGATTATACCCGCGCGCAAGGGGCAGTTGGGAACACAAATATGAATCGAGAATGTATTTTTCTTAAAATCCGAAATGTGTACTAAATATATGTATTTTAACTCATATTTACACACACGATACGGACTTGGAATGAAATACACTTCTGAGTTTGACAATGCCTGCCGAGCAATGACCGTCTCTATTTGATATTTATTGGAGTTAACAATAAAGAAATCCTTTCACAAAAACTGAGAGACAAGACAATCAAAGCTTTTTATCTCTACTAGACAATATTCCAGATGACGACTTCGCTTTTTGTCACACTTCACTTTTGCCACACATTGTCGACAATTAATCAAAATATCAACCTTGAAACGCCGATACCAATGTATATGTGATAACATTACTTATAAGACAACCCGTTCCTAAGACAGTCGGTTCTAGGTAACCGGAGCGGACCCGGAATTTTATCCGACCAAAGATTGCCATCTCAGCATCATTAGAACTTCAGGGATGTTTTCTGCTGCTATAACAACAACAGATAACTTTATTGAAGCATATTCTCTGTGAGTCTCACACAAGCCGAAGACCTGCTGCTTTATTTTTGCCTATCTCTTATAAAACCAAATATCGGAGCCTTCAGCGAATAGAAATATATCAAGGCATAGACATTTGCACTACAAAGAAAATTTAATTTATACATTAACACTAGAAATAAAGCGTTAGTATGAAATAGGCTCCAATAAGCTCATGAGCTTAAATACCTCTTTTGAAACAAAAGAGAGCGCATTCGTTATTTACAGTAGTAAATTTACAGCAGATAAGAACTTTTATAAAATATATAAATATATGGTAAATTAGATACATTTTTAATAATGCATAGCATAGACTTGAGCGTCATGTCGTAAAAGTATTTTATTGTTTGGCAAACGCAGAGCTCAATATCTCAACGAAAGCCGCCTCATGCAGGCCTGCGTCGGACGTATCATCATTTGTACGAATTTCAATGACTCATCTCTGCTTATACCGATCCACACTATACCCTGACCGCTATTACCTTTTGTATAATCGCCGTTCAAGTTGCTGTCAAAACACGCATATGTAAATATTATTTATGCCAAATATGTATTTTGCCATTGTAACTTACCTCCAATAGCAACAGTTATACCACCAGCCGCCACGCCATTTCTTCGCGCAATTATCATCGTCCTTTTGGTCATTATCGCGATCGTATGTGCTGAATTTACTGCCTTCGTGATTTTGGAAATAATCACCGGCATTTCCTTTATAATCGCCCACAGTTTTCAGAACAAAGCCATCCGCTTCGCTACCTACAACGAATGCACTATATTTCGCATAGTATTTCTCACCACCGGAGTTTTCCATTTTTATGTACAGTTCATGTTCACAGCTTGTAGTAAGTGCATGCAGCTTATCGAGCCCGATCCAATAGTTACCGGCCAAGTTGCCGAAACCGACCTTATAGTCCGTCCAATTCCTATAGAAGTCAACATCAGCACTGACACGCCGCTGTATGACGGTCCAACCGCCGAAATCGGTATCCTCTTCACACCACACCTCGAACGGGATTTCGCTAAAGCGTCCGACTTGAATCTTGCAGATGCCACTTTTAGATATGGCGGCAGTAGCTTCTAAGCAGCTGCTGGGCATATTCGTTTTTAGTTTGCTATACAACAACAACAAAAAAGATTTGAACTTTTATTCGAAACTATTTATAAAACAATGCTTTATTACGCTCTTTCCACTTGTTTGATCTCGTTTCGGCTGTAGATTTCCTCCACACGCTTTTCGAGTTTTTCCAGCTTTCCCAGAACCCTTTTCACAATCTCAATATCTACATCGCAATTGCAGTCGAGAGCTTCGACGGTTATGTCCACATTTCCTGCGCATAGTCTTACACCTAATATTAGGCTCGATAGTAGCGCAAGAAACTTTAGAAGCAACATATTTTTAAGCACTATTCAATACCACCGTTTGCATGCGTGAAAGTTCAGAAGAAAACTGTGCTTCACAGAAGCTTGGGAATTTCTGTGGAACGCTCAAGCATTTGCTGATAACACAGCACTCAAGCATATAGGTGTGTGTGTATATGTACATGTAGATAATACTTATAAATTTGCTATTCGTTAGGACGGAATTCTACAATAGTTTGATACACTCTCTTTGATATCTACCAGCAAGTGGCTTTTCATAAGAGCAGAAGATCACCCAGAAACAGCTGTTGAGTAATCATGGTTTCCATATTCAGATCTCCAAAACCGAGAACCATCCAGTTTATTTCAATCTTGATTTGAAACCACAATCCACAAAGCGCTTGTTACGCACGAAATCCACTCGCGCACAGCAATTATTTACTATATTCTCACTGTAAGTATGTGTATGTACATACTTGTATGCATATGCAACTGCGATAAGCATAAATAAGTAGCGATGAAGGAATCGCTGGCAACGCTTACACTTACACAGATTTTGTCCCTACTTTTGCAAACATTCCTAATCAAAAAATAACACAGAACTGCTCTCTTGAAATTGAAAAAATTGAGAATCTGCGATAACGTTGCTTATAAAAGTGGCTTTGCATAAGCAGCTTAGTTAGAATTGAATAATTTGATAATTAGAATTACCGAAATGAGTATAACATTTTCAAGCTTATTAAACTCAAATTTAATGACGTATATAAGCGCTAGTTTTAGTACTTCTTTTGCATGGCAACTTTTAATGTTCATGTAGATAATGTCAACATAACGTCGGCTGAAAGTCAAAGCTCTCTATTTAACCGACAATCAGTCCCAGAACAATCGAATCTATTTAACTGGATCAGATGCGGGTTTTTATCAGACCCAGAAGGGTCAAAAATTGTTTGACACGTTTATAAAATGTATTCTGTGTGTGTGTGGCTGATTTTTTACCGAACATATCGGTCACTCTATGAGTGAAAAAAATTAGTAAAATCGGGTCAATACTTCCCTTAGCCCCTAAATACCTAATATAGACATTTTCGAACTTCCGGAAGACTTTATAACGCATATATCGCTCAATATGTAACATATAAAATCTTAGTTAAATTCCCCAAGAATCTCGGTCTAATACTAGTGTAACTTCTGGACTATGATTGTAAATAAGCGATCAACTTTTCATTAAAATATATACGAAAATACCGTATATTACTATACTTTGATAGAGTATAAAACGTTCGCTTACATCCGAACTTAGACCTTCCTTACTTGATTTATTTTAAATATTTAGGGGGATATCTTATTTCGACTTATAATCGAAATAATCTATATTCTGATGGTAGAAAAAAGACAGGTTGGTTGAAAAGTGTCTGCGATCGAAATGAAAAAATACTGTTTTTGGTACGAAATATATTTTTTTATTCAATATAATCTCCCTAAACTTCAATACACTTAATGGTCCTCCAATAAATTTATGCCATCCCTATAATGAATTTCCGCAAACTCTGCAAAATACCCGACTACGGCTGCAATAGCTTCTTCATTCGACGAAAAACGCTATCCACGAAGGAATTGTCTCAGGTTTCTGAAGAGGTAATAGTCGCTGGTAGCCAAATCTGATAAATACAGTGAATGCTCAAGCAATTCGTACCTTAATTCGTGGAAGTTTGTCATTGTTAAAACATCGTTGTGAGCAGGTGCATTGTCGTGATGAAAATGATTTGTTATGCTGCAAACCAAACCTTTTCTCACTAATTTTTTCATCCATCTGAATCGAAGGCTGCAATAATATTCAGAGTTGATTGTTATACCTTTTTGCAGATAATCAATCAGTAAAAACAGAAACGATGCAAGAAATCGGGTTTAATCTGCTTAGAACGCTTTAAATTATTCTGAGAAATTGGTTTTCGATCCAGTTTTTGTTGAATTGTTAACGTGAGCGGCACTAACTTTCCAAACAGCTTTATCATATGTAATACTTCATGTAAAATATGAAGTACTTATTCGTCTAAGATGCCTATGGCATTAGCAATTTCGCGTTTAGTCAAACTTGGATCTTTACTCACAATATTATGAACTTGCTCAATGATATCTGGTGTGGTTGTGGTTTTTGGTCGTCCTTCGCGTAGATCGTCTTCAAGCCTAGTACGACCACATTTAAATTCACCAGCCCAAAATTCAAAGGTGCGTTTTGAAGGTATACAGTTCTTACAATTGTTCATAAATTTCCTTTGCTTTTAAACTTTTCCAAACAATGAATCTAATCACTGCGCGAAATTAAATTTTTTCCATATTAAAAAATACTCTGACACGTTAACTTCAAATAGTTTGTAAACAAAGAAATAAGTGACAGAATGATTTGTAACTTTACATGTGATCATGACAAATGTACCAACTTGAAAAAAAATTGGTGCTTGTAGTGCAATTATGTGTTGAGACCAACCAACCGGTATATACGTGACTATGTTAAATTTTCAAAATAATTTTACGAAAGACCTTACCAAACAATTCAAATCTGCTTTTTTTATAAATTAACTACGTATTATTTCGTAGAGTTTCAACAATTAAAATATTGGATTCGAATCTTTAAATAGGACCGAATATTTCATTCTCTTGCAACTTGCAAGGATCAAAACCGGCTAAGTACATCAGATGCTGGCAATATTAAAAAATAATGCGAAGGAGTTCAACTTCATTGCTTTTCGAAATCGTGAATGAATTACAATCAAATTTGGTATCATATTAACTTATTTTGAGGATTATAACTAAGGGTGTAGTTACTATATTTTAAATGCCGGCAGAGAAATTGAAGGGCTCATTGCATATACCAAAAAAGGTATATTATTTTTGGAGAAACATTTTCGAATTTTAATAATATATCTCACAGATTGACCGATATTTTGGGCAAAAAGTTTGTCATACACACTGGGGTTCACTTATTTGGCATCTGGGTTCTTGAAAAGTTATGATCCGATTTCGAAAATTTTTGGGTGTAAGATGAACTACCTAGCGTGCAAAGTTTTATAAGAATATATTTATTAGTTGTCGATTTGTAAACTGTAAAGTAAAAAAAACAGGTGGAATTTTAAAATTTATGACGTGATTTTTGTCTGATTTCACCGTGTTGTAAGAATGTAAGGATAATATTATATACCGAAATTGGTTGAAATCGGTCGAGTAAGTCCCGAGGTATGGATTTTCACCTAAATGCGGACGGTGACACGCCTATGCTACAATTTCGACCAAGGCTCCTATAAAGCCATCTTGTACCATTTCGGTTGTAAAACTGTATGTTTTATCGCGCTTCTAGTAGTTTTTGACAAAACTGTTATACGGGGAGAAGGCGAAGTTATACTTTGATTTCATCCATTTTCACACTTAGGAGATATGCACATCAAACATATTATAGGGCGCCCATTTCTTAAAAATGTTTAGCTTACAGGTGCCCCCTTGCTATTGCAATCCCCTACACCAAAATAAAATCTCTTAATTTGGAGCTTAATTACCGATTAAGCCCATCTACGAACTCGTCCTTTGTAACCCTCTATCAAACTCGATTATTTTTATACTCTTGCAACATGTTGCTACAGAGTGCAATAGTTTTGTTCACCTAACGGTTGTTTGTAGCACCTAAGACTAATCCGGATCTAAGCTCCACAATAAGATACAAGACTATTATTTGGTATATAAAATCAAATTAGGAAGGCGCATCTTCAGTTTAAAATCTTTTAAAAAAGTGGGCTTCGGTACATAATATTCCTGTCATATTTCTATGTTATAGTGATAAAATGGGCGAAATCGGATTACAACCACGCCTATTTCCCATATAACATCATTTTAAATTCCATCTGATTCTTTCATTTTCCATTATGTATAATATATGAAGCAACAATGATTGTATCGGGGTAAAACTTTGCATGAATAATGCGTTTAAAGTATGCCACTTTGTGACCAAAAATTGTCTAAATCGGATCAACACTGTTCAAGCATCTAAGTACTGAATATATGAACCCCAGTGCCTATAGTTGAATTTTTACCCAAAATATCGGTCAATGTGTAAGATATATAATTGAAATTTATATAATAAAATAAATAAATGAAACTCTCTGAAATAGTATTTGTGTCAGAAATGAGATGAATCGGATCAATACTTTTATTAATATAACGTTTTACCAACACCTGAAGTAATTTCTCTGGCTTTTATCCTTGCAAGAGTATAAAAAGTACAGTTTGTTCTGTACATAAAAAGGCAATTTCGCAAAAGAAAAATATTTTTTTACAAGATACAATTTGAATTTTTTCACATAAATTTTGAGGCTATGTGAAAAAAGCCATATGCAAAAGTAATAGATCCTTTTATTACCTACAACATTGCCATATAACTATTGTTTTTTTCTATTAGTAACCCCTAAAAACTCAACAACCTTTTTCATTTTCCGCCCCAGATCGCACGTAAATTAGTTTTCCTTTAATTTTTGTTGTTTTATCTTTGGTTTTCGACATCCTACTATGATTTTTTTATACTCTCGCAACTTGTTGCTACAGAGTATAATAGTTTTGTTCACCTAACGGTTGTTTGCATCACCTAAAACTAATCGAGTTAGATATAGGGTTATATATATATAAATGATCAGGATGAAGAGACGAGTTTAAATCCGGGTGGCTGTCTGTCCATCCGTCCGTCCGTCCGTGCAACTTGGTAGACATGTTTCTTGGTACCGTGAGACGGTTGGTATTGCAGATGGGCGTAATCGGACCACTGCCACGCCCACAAAACACCCATTAATCAAAAACAAATAAATTGCCATAACTAAGCTCCACAACAAGATACAAGACTGTTATTTGGTATACAGAATCACAATAAGGAGGGGCATCTGTAGTTAAATTTTTTTTTTAAGTCTTAGGGGTCTCGCCCCTAATAGGTTTAATGTGCATATCTCCTAAACCGCAAATATTATAATAACAAACTTCACTGGAAGAAAATGTTTTCAGCACCTCTACCTTGGTGTGAAAATGGGTGAAATCGGGTGGCAACACCGCCCACTCCCCATATAACGGTACTGTTAAAGACTACTAAAAGCGCGATAAATCAAGCACTAAACACGCGTGGCACCGCCCACTTTTAGGGGAAAACCTATATCTTGAGATCTGCTTAACCGATTTCAACCAAATTCAGTGCATGACGTTCTTTTCATATTTCTATGTCATAGTGCGAAAATGGGTGAAATCGGACTACAACCACGCCTATTTGCCATATAACACCATTTTCAATTCCATCTGATTCTTTCACTTTCCCCTATGCATATCAAGCAACAATGATTGTATCGGGGTAAAACTTTGCATGAATAATGCGTTTGAAGTATGCCACCTTGTGACCAAAAATTGTCTAAATCGAGGCAAAACTGTTCAAGCCCCAAGGTAATGAATATGTGGACCCCAGTGCCTATAGCTGACTTTTTATCGAAAATATCGGTCTATATAGAACAAGGCGGCAAGATCCACAAAGAAATCTAAAACGAGTATACCATTTGACTTTGCGAGAGTATAAAATGTTCGGTT